CAGCTGCAAAAAGGCAAAGTGTTGTTGCACAACACATAGCTGGGCTGAGGAATTTGCTGATGTCAACAAACTAACAACATTCAGGAGAAGGTTAGTTGTTTCTATACTTGCAATTAATTATAAAAACGCTGAAAGAGATTTAAGCATCCCCTGACAGTGAGATATCAGCATGAGATGTGAATCAGGGACTGCTATATCTATCCTAAGTCTGCCTACCTCATAGGTCTGGTTGGGCTCCTGCCACAGCCATAATGCTGTCTAGATGACCTCCAAGTTTGGTTCCAGCTTGCAGTTCTCATGTAAAAAAAAATGTATTTTTAAAGTTCCTTGTCCGCTTTCTTTCTTTCTTACTTTCCTTCTTTTTTTTTTTTTTTGTGGTTTGGATAAAGAAAATCAGAGAAGTTGACCAAAAGGCAGCAGTGGGAATTCATCTTAGTACCTACAGAAAGTTCAGATTTTCTGCTCTGAGGAGCAGACCTTTTGGGAAGTTTAGCCCTTTCCCAGTTCCCAAATAAATGAGTTTATTCATGCGGCACCTCTTGGTGACGGAGGAAGAAGTGGGGCCCGATAACTGGAAGCTGTGGTGCTCACTTGATGATCAAGTCATCTGCTCAACTTATGTGCCGATGGCTTTTGTAGGAGATGCTCAAAGTAGTTGCATCAGTCCCACAGTCCCCCATGGCTATGTGTTGTCCAGTTCCCTGCCTCCTGTGTAATAAGCCAGCCATGCTGGCTCTGCATATCCCTCTTGGATTTAGCCCTCAAAATGCTCAGTCAGAGAAGATGTAAAAATAAAAAAAAGAACTTTCCTGTCATACTATTGCTTGGCTAGAAGCTTGTGCCAGACCGTTGTCAAGGCAGTGCTAGGACACCAGCAAGACCCAATGTCTGGAGAATATACTCAAGGTGGCATTTTATTTTAAGTAGACAGGAAAGAAACAGAGAATTGGAGAAGTCAGACAGAGACATGTGTGCCTCTCTGGTTTGCAGACTGATCCTTTAATGATCTTCTGATTAGAAGTTATTGCTGAAAAAATGCTGTTGCATTTGCCTTCAGAACAGTCTTTCTAAATAGTGGGCTACCAGGCGGTTGTCTGTGCAAGGTATCATTCTGCCGGGAAGTCGTGGAGCAGCCAGGTGTGCTGTACCACATACAAGGCCCCGCCAGAAACCTATCCTGGGGGGCCACAGTGCCTGCAGGGGCAGCAGCCCAGCATGGACAGGGCTTTACCCCACCGGCCCTGGGCTAGTCTGGGCCCGTCCACCAGAGAAAACTTGTCCGTGACTATCACTCTTCTCACCCCTGTCAGTCTTTCTAGCAGCTTTTCTATCACAAGGAATAAAACATTGCCACAGGCAATCTGCTCCACCCCTGTTATATGTACAAATTGCTTGTCTCGCGCCTTTGAAATCTGCTCTCATCCAGTGCTTTCATAACGCAGCACGTGTTTTGACACTTGAAGACTGGAGGAGCTTTTCTGAAACGTGTCTCACTCTGCGGGGTTGTAATTCCTCGTTTCGGGGGGGGCTCTTCCCCTCACCTGGGCCCATCATTTCTCTTCTACCATGTGTCACTAGAGGCCCCAAGGTTTTCTGCCGTCTCGGGGTATAACACAATGGAGCAAACGTCACTGGCTGCAGCACAGCATGTAGCATTGCTTCCACTTTTCCAGGCTGATCTCGGAGATGTTTCTACAGCCTCTGAAGTGCTGATGTGTCGTTGTGTTGTGCATAGCTGTTTCTCTCTGCCTAACAAAATCGGCTTTTGGCAGCATCCAGTTTGTAAGAAGGCTCTAGGAGTACACACCACAAGCTAGTCCTTCAACCTGATGGGGATCCAAAGTTTGAGATCTGCTACGTGGGGCTGACTGGTTAGAGTATCATTACTGGTTCGTGCCTCAAAAAGCAGAGGGTTCAAGGTGGTCTGTCTCTGCTGTGAGCTGTTGCTGCAGGTTCAAGTCAGAAGGGTTAGGAGGTTGCATTGCTGCCAGGGCAGCTTCTGTGTCATCTGCTTAAAACTATTTGTTGATGAGTTTCTTTGATTTTATGCCACCACGGACACAAAAATCTGTTATTTGAGCATTTGTCAGTTTGGCTACATTAGGACAGCTGCAACTGTTTTTTCGGGCATGAGCATTGTGGGTCCTCCTGCAGATTATGTGCACAGCAGCCTCTGTGGAGCAAACACACGTGGGGCTGATGAGCATCCAGTTTGCATCCAGGTAGTGGAGATCCTCCTTTTGGCCAAACTAGTGATGCCTAAGAGTCCCATGCCAAGATGATTTGCCTGTTTTCGGAAGAGTGATTTTGAGACATGCTCTGTGTTTTCCTAAGAAAAGTTGAAACAACCTAAAGAAGCTGATTTCATTTGCAGTTATTCTGAGTGTTCAGGATTTATCTTACAGCTTCAAAAGTGAAAACTTTTTTTCTGAGTTAATCTAATCCCTTTTCTTTCAGAAAAGGATCAGCAGTGGGGGAAAAAAGGGAAGAAGATACAGCAGACTAAAAAAAAATAGAAATATAACATTTTTCAGTTTTAAAAGATTTCCACATTTGTTTCCATATTCCTTTCAAATGACATATTTTGCATGAAAAAAGCACTTTTTAAATCTAAATTCTTCTAACTTAGACTTTTGTAGACTTGAGCGGTTACAAAATCACTGTTCTTCCTTTCATTTTCCATTTCAGAAACCCCAGCTGGACTCATTGCTGAGAACCTTCTTAAAGCCAAAGAAATAGCCCTCAACGACTCTCGTGTTCCTGAACAGCTGAAGAATTACTTACAAAAAGCTCTTGATGTTGCTCTTGGACTAGACCCTTATCTGGATGTAATGGCAACTTCAAAGAGGTATGGATTCTCCTTTGTAGCCATATGCTTTTTTTTTCTTTCGATGGTGTGAATATGTTCTTAGATTTTCTGTTCAGAATAGGTCTCAACCATGGAGACCAGTGGAATGAGGAAGAATGAGCGTTATCTGCATCCAAAGACTAGGTGTGTCTCCTAAGCTTGTTTTCTTTCTCAGAAACATACAGTAATGTGTGCACAGACATGTATGGCTGTGTGTCCGTGTGCATGCATGGCCTTGAGGTGAGGAGGAAAGAGCAAAAAGTCTACCCCCTAAATTATGGAAGACTTCCTTCCTGATGGTTGCTGACAATGTTTTTCAGTTTAGTGGTCTGTGTTAGACCATACTCTGCTTAAAAATAAGTAAGCCAGCCTCCACACAGTTCCCTTTTAAGATCTCAGAAAATGAACCCCTAGATTAACTTGGTGCTGCTATAAATAAAGACTGAAAAAAGCCTGCATAAAGACTGCTGGATCCACCCTATAATAACAGCCTTTGCATGCAGCTTTTATCTTCAAGTGCTCAACAAACATTAATTAATCTGCTAACTAAATTACTCTAGTAACTAAACTAATTAATTAAACTAATTTAAGGTATCATTAATTCAGAAGTCCAACTGATACCCTCATTATTCTTTTTTGAGCTACAGTATATTACCCAGCTGTGTGGGGTCTGCTAAACAATTCCCATTTATCAGTGTAAATTTTGATACATAGAAAAAGCCAGTTCTGTCTAAAATTGACAATGTGTAAACTGTTCCAGGCTGCAGATTACAGGAACGCTGAACGTTAGTTCTGTTGCTGAAATAATAGCTGATAGTTGTTTGACTTAAGCTAGCTGTATGATAATAGCTATACATTATCTTATTAAAGTTGTTAAAGCATTTGTGAGGGGCAGAAAAGAGGTTATATAAAATGTTCTACTCTTTAAGTCTTGGATTATCTGAGTGTGTCTGATACGGGTTATGAATTCTTTCTCATTTAACCGAAGAGTGGCGGGGGGAGCAGAGAGGGAGGGGGAAAGAAAAAAAAAAAGCTCAAATAGCTCTAAATTCTGGCCTGCAGAAGCATCACCAGCCATTTCTCGTGGATACTTTCTTCAGACACAGTAATCTAACCTATCTGGAGGCTATGGACTTCTTCCAGTGATCTATTCTTTTCCCTTCCTAATAAGTAGTCTCCTATTTCATCCAAACTCATTGTCACATGCTTAGTTTCTGTGAAATAACATATGGACATATCCTGCTTTTCTCAGCAGTTTGGGAAGAAAAGATTTTTTTTTGGTCCTGCAAAAACTTTCAAAATTTCCATTTCTATGTCATTCTGCCCCGAAATCTTTTTTGCCAGTTTCTTTGCAGGATATCCAGATTTTAGTCTTGACCATAATGTTGAACTTTCTTTCCTATTTCAGAATAACTTCACCTGAACAAAGCCCACTGGATGCTGGAGGAACCGAAACCAGAGTTCAGCTGCAGCAAGAACTCATCTCTGGCAATATGAACGGCAAGTCGGTCAACCAAAATGGTAAAATTGCACCCAATTGCAGTAAAGGGTGTCAATGAAGTTCATCATCCTCTACTCCGTCTTGACTGGGGATAGGATGAATGCCATGGAAATGCCCAGGAAATTTGGAAAATGACTTAAAATGAGAGACAGGATCCTGCAGTAAGCATGGATCTTTCTTTTGTATGAATTTTCCCTGCCCTCCAGCCCGCCGTTGCCTTTGTGCCTACTCACATGCGTGTTTGCGAGCGCTCACCCGCTCGTTCTCTCTTTAATTCACGGTGCCAGCCCTGTCCGTTTAGTGAGCAGCACAGACATCATCCTCCTCACTGGAAAAAGGGGAAAATTGTGTTGGTTTTGGTTTAGTGACTGTCCGATAGAGGTTTAAGGGTTGTGCAGTGGAGGTGGCCTATGGGCAAGCACTGAACTTTTTTAGAGTAGCAATGATCAGGCTTATATTCGCATATAAAGCCTATTACACTAAATCTATTCCTAGATTCATTCTTCCCAGATGTTCCCATCTTTTGAGTAATATATCATCACAGTGAAGTACTCTTATAATGTATTACACTAATACATTGTTCGAAGGACACCACTGATGATAAATTTCTTAAATGATGGTGCTGTCTGGGGATAATGACTCTAAGAGCAAATGCAAGGTAATGTAGTGATTTTTTTTTTTTTACCTTGGTTCCAGAAAGAATATGGAGACATCTTAAAACCATTTTCGTATGGGGGGAATGTTAAAATATGCAATATTTCAAGCACTATTTAACAAGCACTTGAACAATAGCAGCATTGATGATAAAGGTTCTACATTTAAAACCAGACCCTTTATTCTGTTGTCTTTTAGCTGCATTTTAGATGAAATTTTGTCAGATTCTGTTGTTAAACCCCTATTTTCAAGTGTTTTAAGATGTAATTTTTTTTTTAAATGATCACTTGAAAGGTACATTTAATTTTCATTGTGAATAGTGTACAGTTTTTCCTATGGTTTTATTTTTAAAATTGTATTCTTGTCTTTCAACAGGCCAAGTTTTTAGGATGTTTGTTCATATGATCAGAGCCAGGAAGATTTTATTAATTGGCAAGCTTAAAGGTTACAGTATCCTTGCTATTGCAGAAGACTTGCCAGATGATGGCAAAATCTTTGCATGTGCAGAAGTGCCCTATCTTGGAGTGAACAGCCAAGAAGCGTTTGATTATTCTTCGGATGGTAAAAAGATAAGCATGCAAGTGGGACCAATAGCAGACACTTTGGAGGTAAAGTCATTGGAAGGGAGTTTGAGAGCTCTTGTTCAGAGCAGATTAACGCGTTTCTGGCAGGTGTATTTTGTCTTATTTCCTGCCTATAAAATGCTGGATGGTGACCCTAGTTTGCCTGCAGAAGCGATCACACTCTCCCACTAGGATTATTTCCTATTCAAGGTGATAAATGATGGGACAGCTTTGTCACACAAGATAGTTTTATTCCCTCCTAACTAAAATACCAAAGTTCTTTGACCGGAGGAATCGCAGGCCCCAAACGCAGGGCCATAGATTTAACGGAAGAGTTTCACTTGAGTTGGGTGGACTTTGCGCCAGGGCCTCTAATGCCAAATGTAGCAAGCTGGAAGACTGTAGCTGTGCCCTGGTGGGCCTGCCCCTGCAAAGGACAGATTTCTCCCACTGTTGATGAGATTTGGGAAGGTCTTGCAATTTAATGCATGAAGTTTGCAATTTAATGGCAGCCTGTCACTGGTTTCCCCACTGGTAACACCACAGTGAATTAGACTACAAGTTTCCCTCTTCCAAGTAATATGCGAACTTCAGATGTGCAAATGCACTAGCCAGATTTGTTTTGTTCTGACTAGCGACTTTGTCCCAAGGAAGAGAAAAGCTTATGACTGCCAGCAGCGGGAGGAGCTGCGCTTTCAATTTCAGTCTATGGATCTGCCTGATGTTGCTGCATGTCCAGCGCTCTAGCAGCTGATATCCGTGATAGGTTCATTAAATGCATAGCCACTCTATTATTAATGCAAACCAATTTGATCCCATTCCATTTTCAATCTGGAAGTGTCAGTGTGAGCTGGATTGTAACTTTATTTGCATTAACAGGTACCATATTTGCTTCTAAAATGAAATGGCCAGGAGCTTTCTGACCTCTGGCTTTCATGACCTCCAAGTTTGATAAGAAAGAAACAAAGAGCTTTGGCAAGTATATGAATAAACGGAACGTTACAGATCACCTGCAATGTGCAGCATTTAAAATCCCAGCTCCCTGCAGTGAGTGTGAAATTAATTGAATTGCTGTTGCTCTCTAGTGCCCATTCTGTGCAACTGACTTACTGTGACTGAATTAAAATATCTAGAGGCAAGCAGAGTACATGCTGTGTGGAGATTAAAGAAGGGAGCAAAGACATGAAAACTAAATCCTTAAAAGAGAATGTTGCAATTGATTTTATATCCTCCGACTGCAAAGCGAGGGCACATCCTGACCCCGCTTCTGCAGGTACTGGGGGCTTTGAATGCTTCCTGAAGCTGATAGGAGTTGAGATGCTCACATTTGGCAGCACAGATCCCTACAGCTGGGCACTCCTGCCTTGGATAGTATGGCAGAATTTTTGCACTCGGCTCCGAACTTGCATTGCTAAGCCTGATAGATATTTTCTCATTGGCACCAGGAGAACTGGGATTGTCCTATGAGGGCTCCAGGCCTTTATCAACAGTGACGCTAAGTGGAGAAGGGGCTATGGGGGTGTTGTAACATTGGTTTCTTTTTCCTCAAATGGGAGGGAATATATTCCATGAGAATGGGAAGTAAGTTTTAGGCCCAGTGTAATGAAGAAAGTTCGGCATGCCACCGCATGGGAAGAGGCAGCAGGTCTATCAGAGTTATCTTTGTACGTCTGCCCACCATGTGACATGCATCACTGGATTGTGCAATGAGTTGGAGCTCAACAAGGCTCTGCACTAGCTAGCTGCTTAAACATGTGCTTCACTCAAACAATCAAATATTTCCAGGTCAGTGAGTCTATTTAGATGCCTAAAACTAAGCAAACGCAGAAGCGTTAAGGTGCTCTCAGGAAGGTTACAATAACAGGCAATGGCTTTGGATGACTGCTTATGAACACGTTTGGGTGGCCTCTCTGCTGAGCCTTTTCAAAAGTCATTTGCTGTTCCCTGGCATGTCAGGATTATTGGGGTTTGCAGCACTGGAGCTGGGCGGGTGTCCACTGAGGTGCGCGGAAGAGGCTCAGGGTGTTAACAGCAAACTCCTTCTCCCTCTTAGAAAAAAAAAAATAGTTTAGATTTGGAACAAGGCATGTCATCCATTGACATGTGGGCATGCTGAAAGGCAAGAGGACTGGGCAGTTGCTGTGGGCACGCTGCGCTCAGGATGGGCGATGGGCCACGACCACCCCAGCTGAGGTCTTACAGCGCAGCCTCACGGAGGGGATGGAAAACAAGAGCCTGTTGTCCACAGAAAGGCCGGTTCAGGGCAGAGCCGGGTAGGAGTGTTGCTGAAGAGTGTGATGAGATGTGGGGAGAGCTGGAAGCCCTGACAAGGGCTGTCTGTACCATCTAGGGTATCTGCAGTACTGGGTTTCTTTCCTGTCCCACTGGAGTAGGTAGAGGGCAGAGATGGACACCCACCACTTCATAAATACTCTTCTACTGTGTAGCTCTTTGGAGGTGGCTGCCGCAGCTTTCTTGCTGGGATGACCATGTCTAAATTTACTTCTAAACTGAGCGCAATAGGGAAGGGCTTCTGCCTACCTGCCCCTCCTCAAATCTTGGCAGCAGCACGGGCTGCTCATGGGAGCAGGGGATTTGCCTTGGCACACTGACTCCTTTAAAGCACAGAAACAGTGTATAATCTTTCACGCTGCCTGGCAGGGGAAGTTCTTTTCTCCCGCACGAGACAGTCATCCAGAAAGTACAAATTGCCAGAAGATATGAGAGGTAGTTGCACTGCAGGTGTAAAGTCGTCCTTGTGTAGCAGCTACCTGGCAAGCGCTGCAGGATGTGCCTTTTCCCAAGTTTGAGGGACAGGAACTCCAAGCTAAGTTAGGCCCCCACCTCCCGACCAAAGCATGTTGCTCGCATACACTCTGGCACGTGCCTCTGTGCCTGATGACTTTGGTAATTTTGACATAACCTTAGAAAACACGGAGTGGATTCAGCCTTTCCTTGGGTTCAGGATGCCCTTCAAAGCTTAAGCCAGTTGACTTCAGTGGGAATTAGCTACCTTTCAAATCTATGCTGGGCCACAGTGTTAAAAATCATTTCCTAACAAGCTTCTGAAGTATAAACTCCTCTCTGCTGTGTTCTACCTGGTTAACGCGCTTTGCTATGCCTCAGCTGCTGACAATAGGCCTGATCCTGCTCAAAGTCCTTTAATTCCCAGTGGACTTTTGGTCGAACAATGGATGCAGGATTGAGCCCAGTGGGAAACTGCCAGGAAATTATTCACATTTGTGGTTTTGATCCTTCCATTCTAAAATCGAAAATGCAACACAAAATAACAACGTGTTTGCAGCAGATTTGGCCGATTGCAGGGCATTGTATAAGCGTGTAGGGGTTTTCTTTTTTCTTTATTTCCCTCCTTTTACCAGACAGAATAGGTGAAGAGGTTGAGTTGCAGATCTCATTTCTCCTGTTTTGCTGCTTGTGAAGTCTGCCAACAGAATCCACCTTGACAAAGTCAAGGACTCTGCGTTTAATGTTGAACTGAGTGAATAAATTATGCATGAAATTGTGTCGGAGTCTCTAGTGTGCAGAATTGCTCCTTTTGATATGAAAGGTTAATTCAGAAAGGAGTCCAAAATAGCTGGAAATTGTGGGGATAAGTGGATAGTATTCACTGTTGTGAGCTGTTATTACTAGAAATTGCATTCCCTCTCTAGCTTCCCTAGAGATTTAGCTTTGCCGGTGAATATAAACTGTACTCAATAGAATAGCATTTAGGAGTAACAAGAGTGTATGTCCACATACAGTAAAATATTCTAATGGTGTTTTAAAAGGAAGCTGTACTTCTTCATGTGTTCTGTGCACCCTAAGGATGGATTGCTATTGCATTTAGGTCAAGAACAAGACATAGGGAAAGTAATAAGTTTTTGAGTCCATCTTTATTACAAATATGTGACTGTATGATCCATTTCCAAGCAACTGGACAGTTAGCGTTTCTGACTGAGTTTGTATGTGTCTTACGAGAGAGTGTTGTTGCTGATCAAGACTACAGTCAGGTTTTCTTTGCGCTTTGGCAGAAGCTTCATTCATGTTTTTAGTCAGGATGTCCTCTCCCTGATCTTTTGCTGTAACCGTCAACAGTGTCGCTGTGCTCTTTCTCGAGCTCTTTTTTGGTGCGTCTCCTCTGTAAAATACAGTGCTATTTTTTTTTTTAAGCCCAAAGGAATTTAGTGGCTCAGTGTAAGCAAAAGCATTAATTTTAGCCAAGTTTGCTCTGAATTAAGACACTTCCTGTTGCCATCTGTTACCGTCTATGATGCCTCTGTAGCAAGGAGCAGGGATTGCACTGTAAACATTCAGGAAATCAGTTTCAGCAGTATATTTTGAAGGCAGATTATTTCTTTCTGTGTCTCAGCTTTCCTCACAGTTGGAGACGTTTGGGCTCTACCTCTCTCCTAGCAAAAAGAGTGACTTGGATGCTGTTTCCAACTAGACATACACAAAGTAATAGCAGTCTTGAAGCTGTGGAAATAAGAAACTCGTATGCTGACAGGATCCCAATATGAGTTGCAAGGGAGTGATTCAGGCCTTTCTGTATAGATGTCTAGTACCGTTTTAGCAACCCTTAAGGTATCTGAGATTTCCATATGCAGCTGTAGATATGAAACAGGACCCACAGAGCTGCACATGTAAGCCAGGTGGTATACCTTATGGTATTTAAAATGACCCTATAGGCCATTCAGGCACCTGAGTCTCACCCCCAGAGTCTCACGGCAGCTGTCAATGTCTCATGAAACTCTACAAAACACAAGGAAAATAATCAGGGTGAGGGACTTCAAAGCCCTTGACTTAGAGGAAATGAAAGGTGCCCAAGTGACCTTCATAGCTGGCCATTTGGGACTTGATAAATTGGCTGAAGAGAAATGCCTACAAAAGGGCAGTCTTGCACACACACGTGACGGAGAGATAAAACAGGCTTGTGCTGGGTACACATACAATGCAGGTGCTCTCCTGGGCTGAATGTCATTTAATTAACCAGGTAGTTTATCTATACCAGGAGACAGGTAAGAAGCAGAGAAGCAGTCAACAGGTAGACAGTCCAGAGAGAGGGCTGAAAAGAGAAGTCCAGCTAACATCCAAAGAGCTGCACAACCCCATATGGACCTAATGAAGTCAATGCATAAAAGTGAGATTCTTTTTCATTAGGGAGCAGTACCATGGAGCAGTAGTAACATATGTTCGGAGATGGCCACATCTGCTTGTGAATGTCTACCCCTCACCTCCTGCACCAGGGAAGGTTATAAGTCAGAAAGTAGTGATAAGTCATGGTAATTAGTTGAAATTGCCTTTGGCTCTTAGCTAATCTCCCTTTCTGACAGACTCCTTCTCCCAGCTCTCTTCTTCTGTCCTTTCATGAACTATCTGAATTGGACAGACTGGCTGAGTGACAAGCT